CCTTCCTACCAGCACCAACGGTCTGTGCCTTCTCCACCGTCTTGTCCCCACATTACAGTGGGAGAGGTGCCCCTCCCCTCCTCCCAGGCCCAGGGAACCCCAGCTCACAGGCTTGCTTCCCCATCCATGTCACAGCCTTCAAGGCAGCGGTCCTGATCCAGAGATGGTACCGGCGCTACATGGCGCGCCTGGAGATGAGGCGGCAGTGCACCTGGAGCATCTTCCAGTCCATGGAGTACGCTGGGCAGCAAGACCAGGTCAAGGTGCGGTGGGATATGGGATGCCTCCAGCTCCGCCTTCCAGCCCCTGGGCAGCGAGGCCCAGGTGCCCAGAGGTGTAGCCGGTCTGGACCACTCCTGGGCCTCTTCTCACTCACCTCTAAAGCCAAGTCTTCTTGGGTTCTTCTGTAGCTCCACGATTTCTTCAGCTACCTTGTGGACCACTTCACCCCCAGCAGTCACAGTGAGAGTGAGTATGGGCTGCCACATGGCGCGTCCTCCTGTCTCGGGGTCCTGGGTCTGGGGGTGAGGTGGGAGGTGCACAGGGAGTGAAAATGTGAATCTGGTGATAGCTGGGAGTGAGCAAGGAGGACCACAGATAAATGCAGAGTGGACTTGTATTCTGGGTTGTCCCAGAAGCACACCTGGAGACAAGAGTTTGAGTGCAAGGAGTGTATTTGTTAAATACAGGAAACAGGGTGGGTGGGGAAGGAGTGGGAAGGGATTCAGGGAAGGGAAGGCAGCCTAGAAAGCTAGCAGCTCAATGTGCCTGGGAAATAATGCAAAACACACGCCCCGCATGATCCCACCTGAAGGCAGAGGGAACCTAGTCCTTATATTGGCAGCTCCTGAAAGTCATTGGTTGCAGGCTGCCAGGAGGGGCAGAGAGGAAAGGTTGTTAATTCCACAGCATTTCAGGCCTGCCAAGCAGGGCTTTCTGTGGATCCAGGAAAAAGCCCTCAGGCTAGAGATGCAGGGCCAGGCAGTTGGAAATTGCCTCGAGGGCACTGAGCACCATAAATGCCTGGGAACTTGTTTCCCACATGGCTTTTCCCTTTCTTCTCCTTCCCCCTCTCCCTCCTCCTCCTCCTTCTTCTTCTCCTCCCTCACCTCCTCCTTTTTTTCTAATCTTCACCCTAAGGTATTTTCCCCATTGATTTCCAGAGAAAGTGGAAGGGAAGGAGGAGTGGGGCGAGGAGAGAGAGAGAGAGAGAGAGAGAGAGAGAGAGAGAGAGAGAGAGATGAGAGAAATATCAATTTGTTGCCTCCCGCACATGCCACCCACCTGGGCTAGGGGACCTGCAACCAAGGTACATGCGCTTGACCAGGAATCAAACCCAGTCCACCACTGATCTAAATTGGCCAGTGTTTCCCTTTCTTCTTAACAAACCTAGTCTCCTAAGATTCCATCCTTTCTAAGTCTAACACATCTCAATCTTTTAAAATAAAAGTAGAAGGGAATTGACACAAGGACATACATAACCTTTGCCTCCTGCCCATCCTAACTTGTCAACACTTTCCTCTTTTCTTTCTTTCTCCTGTGCTGGAGCTGATGCCAGACTGGCCACTTCGCACTTGATAAGGTTGGCGAGATTCTGCAGGAACATAACTCTTGTTATATATAATAGCCTATGGTGAAACTTGTTTTCTTATATGTTGCTTCACTTAAAGTCACTGAACCTATTGACAGCATTAAGTGAGGACCTACTGTCTGGTCCAAGGAAAAACTCCTCTGTGTTGCCTGAGGACTGACTGCATGTCTGATTGTAAGCCGCCACCCTTTCTGTCCTGGCAGGGGACTTCCTGAACCGCATGTTTACTGAGGAGAGAGTTCCACGGGACTCCGAGGTAGAGAAATGCAGCGACTATGAATCCATAGAGGTGCCAGACAATTACACGGGGCCACACCTCTCCTTCCCACTCCTTCCTGACCACGCAACTGCCCTGGTGGAAGCTTTCAGACTGAAACAAGTAAGCTCACCCAGTAACCTGAGTCACCACCAACACCTGGTCACCTGCAGGGGGAGAGCAGATCAGAACAGAAGGCAGGGCCCCAGACTTAGGGTGTTTGTGTCATGGGTCCACTGGAGAGATTCCACTCACTCCTCCTTTGCTTAGCCAGGACCTGTGATCAATCACCAGGTCCTATGCACTCAAAACTTCTCCTAATAATGTAATTGCCCTTTGTTCATCCATCCCACAGATAATTACTGAGCACCGGTATGTGCCAGTGTGTTCTGGACATGGGGACACAGCAATGAGCAAGACAGACACAGCTCCCTGTCCTCTTGGGGCTGACATTCTAGTGGGGAGACAGACACAAAATAAATGACCATAACTGAGTAAATGATGTACTCATTCTCTCCATTCAGAACAAAATCCCAGCAAATAGCCAGGCCCTCCCTTGTCAGAACAGTTTATTTATTATTACTTGCCCCGGCCCCAAGTAAATTGTGTGTATTAGAAGGTGGTAAGAGCTATGCAAAAGAATCAACTAAGTTCTAGGTGGGAGAGAGGGCAGTTTTATCGAGTGGTCTGGGAAGGCCTCTGACAAAGTGATTTCTGAGCAAAGGTCAAATGAAGGTGGTGAGGGAATGCACCACGTGGACATCTGTGGAAAAGCATTTTAGGCCGAGGGAACAATTGGAAAGGGCCTGAGGCAGGACCTTGCCTGGACTGCTCAGGGGCCGTGGGAAGGCCATTGTGGCCAAAGAGGAAGGAGCCAGGAAAAGAGTATTAGGAGATGGAGGCAAAGAGGACAGGGGGTGAATTTTATTCTGAAAGAGATGGGGAGACATTGAGCACAGGGATGCTATCATCTGGCTTGCTTTTAAAAGTAATCATTTTCTGTGCCGAATAGAGTGTAAGGAGCAAGGGCTGAAGCAGGGAGGCCAAGTCAAGAGGCTACTGCAATAGTCCAGGCGAAAGACGATTGTGGCTTGAAATGCTGGTGGTGGAAGCAGAGGTGGGGAAAAGTGGTCGGATTCTGGCTCTATGCCGGATTCTAATCCTTCCCTCTTTCATATGAATTAATTCACTGCAGGAGGAGTGGGGGTGATTTTCTCAGTAATGTCAGGATTACTCAGTACCATCAGCATGCATGCAGTTATTCATACTTGGCTGAACAATCATGTGTTTCTCCCCAGCTAAAAGCCAGGGGGGATTTCATAGAGCAGATAGAGGAAATGAGTTCAACATTTGGGTGACGGTGAAAAGCAGAAACAAGGGTAGAAATGGATGAAAAAGAAAGGATCTGTGCATAGGGTCCCAGGGGCGGTTGACTAGGCTCACTTTTGGGGAGGCCCATCTTCCCTCACAAATATCAGTGTTGTTCTGTTCCCTCCCTCCTCTTCCTCCTAGTAGCAGCTACATGCTCGCTATGTCTTGAATCTTTTGCATGAAACCAGAAAACATCTGGTACAGCTGCCAAACATCAGTCGGGTCTCCACCTGTTACAGTGAGGAGATCACAGTGTGTGGTAAGAGCTGGTCTGAATTGGTTTTATATGCTAGACCCAAACTAGAAAACTCTGCCTGTGATGGGGGAGGAGGAAAGGCAAGGCTGGGGGTAGGGGGGAAGAGATGGGGAGCGGGGCGGGACTCAATGGCCATGTGGGCAGGCCGACTTCACTCCTTCACACTGAGAGCAATCGCATATTTGCTCCAGTTTCTTAAACTAGAGGTGGTTCAATGAAGGACTAGGGGGTCACAGGGCCAGCCTCTTCTTTATTTTCCCAAGCAATTCATATTTGACCCCAAACTCATGCTCTCCATTCAGAACAAAAACCCTGCAGACCCTCCCTTGTTAGATAGTTAATTTATAACTAGAGGCCGGGTGCATGAATTCGTGCACAGGTGGGAGGCCCTGCCCCCAATTGGGGAAGGGGGCGATCAGGGCCGCAGTGCCTGTCAAAGCAACCAGTTGTTCCTGTCGTTCCGGCATTCCAGTCGCTTGGCTTTTATATATATAGATTGCTTGACCAGGCCCTAAAGCTTAGTGAATATTCCTGCCATCTACATATATTGTCCCAGACAGAAATCCTGTTAGTGCCAATTTTTCCACCTCCTTATGTTTTCAGTGATATTTTAGATGATCCCCCACACTTTATATTATAGATGGACACCCCACCCTTTAATTTAGGGGAGGCAGACTGTGGTACAGCAGGTATTGTAAAATGGCACTTCTAGGAACATGCAGTGTACAGATAGGTCTTGAAATTGTCTTATATTTTAAAAATTAGTTTCCAATATTTTAAAATTAGAGGATTTCATATTAAAATCCAGTTTCCCAACTTCTCTTGAGAAATCTTGCAAGACTGACCCATAGGGAGTTGCAGCTTCTGTTCTAGATGGGTGAAGTGTCTTCCATTCTCATCTGGGTTTGCAGCCCCGTGCTATTCTGCCCCATCTTTGCTTCAGGAAGAAGACAGGTTGTTTACTATTTATGATAATTATGCAGGAGAAATATTGTGTTTCTTCTTCCAATATTAACTACCCCTGCAACAAGGGAAATTAATAATTATTCCTATCTTACATGTGGAAAATGACTAACCATAAGTTTCTTAACCTAGCTAGTTTTTTTCTGGGTATTTTCCTTTTTTAGAGTAAAAAAATGAGAAACAATGGTAAGGACCAATCAAAACTGATATTCCTTTTCTGTTTTTGTTAGGAGATTTACATGGTCAGTTGGATGACTTAATATTCATATTTTATAAGGTATGAATGTTCAATTTAAGTTTCTGTCTTTCTCTGAGGTATAATTTAGAAGTTTGAATACAGTATCTAATAAACAAATTATTAAGTATTGCTTGGATTTTAAAATATTAGATATACATAGCTTATTTATACATATAGAAAATATTAGAACACACAGTAGAAAATATATAATATAAAAGCCAGCATTGCATTATATTCCACTATATAAACTGTTTAAAAAATACAAAATCTGAGGTTAATAAAGAGAAGGAATCATTATTCAGCAATTGATTTTCTTTTTTTCAAATAAAGAGAATTATTTATTATCAAAGCAGTTGAGAGCTATGTTCATATCAATTTTTAATTATAAAATGCAGAGCATATAGCAACATATAGCATATGAATATTCTGTTTATGTAATATAACTTTATAGATATACTGCATTTCCCAAAGTATGTTGCCATGTATTATGTTGTTTAATCCTTAGGAATCTCTGGCAGTTGTTATTGTTCATTGAAAACAATGCTGCCAGGACTTAAAACCGGCCTTTGGATCACAAGTTCAGTGTCCTTTGCACATACCACATTCCAACTCTCTGGCTTTGCGTAAAACATTTATTTTTATGAACATGTCATAACTTCAGCCTGGCTGGAAAGGAACTATAAGACCAATAGAAAATATTTCTGCCTCTTACTGACGTTTTACATTTGGAGGAGAGCCAAAAACTCAGAATTGGTGTTAGGTCTGCTGTAAAGTCAAGTACACGTTGGCTTAACCTCATTTCCTACTCCCTTCTTTCTCTGCCTCTTCTGGGACTTGAATCCTTGTTGGGAAGAATGGCCTCCCATCCCCAGAGCGAGCCTATGTGTTCAACGGTGATTTTGTGGATCGAGGCAAGGATTCGGTAGAGATCTTGATGGTCCTTTTTGCCTTCATGTTGGTTTACCCCAAAGAGTTCCATCTTAACCGAGGAAACCATGAGGACCACATGGTGAACTTACGGTAAAACCAAAACATGCTTGGTATTTGATATTTACTTGTTGCAATTGTAAAAAGTTATTTTGTCAGAGTTCCTTATCTGTTAGAGGCTTTTTAAAAATAGTTTTTCAATTTTATAAAGTAGAATACACAAGATATAACATTTTAAAAGTTTTTTTTAAAAAATTTACACCTTATCCTACTATTCTAATAAGACCATTAAATTTTTTTTACATACCCATACTCTTTATCATATAAACAATAGTTTAACTACAGAAAAATTAAGGAATACAGATAAGCAAAAGGAAGAAAAATTAAAATATACGATAACTTGTCTACCCAGAGATAATGTTTAATTGTAGACATTTTGATGATTAGTCTCTTTTCTATATAGTTAAGTACATGTATAAGAATATGTATTTTATAAAAATGCAATCATGTCATAACTATTGTCACTAAATTTAATATCTATTTTTTTGCTTTTAAATCTAGATATGGCTTCACCACGGAAGTGATGCAAAAATATAAGGTGTGCTGCCTCTAAAAGCAAAAGTTTCTCTGAGCTCTGAATAGTTGGCTGAAGTATTTGAAACTTAGTGTCTTGTGCATATCATTTTTCAGACGCACGGCAAGAAAATACTACAAAGACTGCAAGATGTTTTCTGTTGGCTTCCACTGGCCACTCTGGTGGATGAGAAAGTCCTGATTCTTCACGGTGGTGTGTCAGACATGACTGACCTAGAGCTTTTGTCTAAACTTGACAGGCACAAGGTACTGACTGGATAATGAAATTAGTGCACATTTTACCAAAATACCCCGTTTCACTATCAACATAAAATAAATGTTATCTTGCATGCTGACTCCAGTTGACTAAAAAGGCCTGGCCAGTGTGGTTCAGTAGTTGAGGATCAATCTATGAACCAGGAGCTCACAGTTCAGTTCAGCTCCTAGTCAGGGCATGTGCTGGGGTTGTGGGCTTGAACCCCAGTATGGGGCGTGCAGGAAACAGCCAATCAATGATTCTCTCTCATCACTGGTGTTTTTATCTCTCTCCCCTCTCTGAAATTATATATATATATTTAAAATTAGACCAGCAACTTTCAACCTTTTTTTTTAACTCATAGCACATAAAATTCTGTGGTACACCAAAAAATATATTTTTTTACTGATCTGACAAAAAATAGGTATACTTTTTATCCATTCACACGGAATGGCTATTGTGTTAGCTGTTGTCATTTTTTTTACTAGTAATTTGACAATCTAAGGGAAAAAAGGTCAGTGTCCCTGACTAAATGTTCAGGTGTTGCATGTTTTAAAAATTCTTATGGCACACCAGTTCGAAAATTGTTGCATTAGACCATTAAAAGGAGAAGGACTGAGAATCCACGGCTGGGCTCAGGGAACAAGTTGCTGTGACCAATTAGTGATGTTTGCCATGGACATGACAGTGAGGAGCTGGTACCATGTGTTTCCATCCCCGATCTAATAACAGTTGGAGTAGAGAAGCCATAAGATACCAGACACGCGTAAGAGTCTATGATGAAAAGAAAACCATTCTGTTATGTACAGTTGTGCAACCTTGAACAAGTTACTTAACTTAGTGTAACCTCAGTTTCTAAAACTGTACAATAGGGATATGAATAACTATGTCATAGATGTTGTGAGAATTAAATGAAGATATTTGTGCATCTGCCTTACAAAATTTATACTCAGTAAGTGGAAATAGCATTAACTCCATTTGGCTGAAGTAGCAGACAACTTCAAATAACAATGGCTTAATATTTATTTGTTTCTCATGTAAATAGAAGCTGGAGGCCAGCAGACCAGGACTGTATAGTAACACCACGAAGCCATCAGAGACCCAGGTTCCCAGGTTGCATTATGGCCCAACATGGCTGCTTGAGCTCCAGGCATCATGACCCCAGTCTAGCCAGCATAACTTACAGAGCAGAAATGTCCCCTTTAAGGACATTTGTTTGTACGCACAGTTTCTGATCACAGCTTTGTCATAGGTCAACACTTAGCTGAAAGGCAGGTTGGAAGGTGTAGTCTTTATTTCAGGGGGTGTCTGTAAGAATCCGGGTTTCTATTACTGACGAGGATGGATAGACAGATGTTTGTGTAGCAACACTGCTCAGTCTGTCCCTGAGGCTCCCAGATGCACGCCTTTCTTCCCACACACAGAATCATGTTTATCCCGTCCCCAAGGGCGTCTATACTCAAGTCTCATCCACTTGCATCCAACTCAGTCTGAGGTTTCTGGATTCAGGTCCTACCTACTTGGTTTGACTATGGCTCCTTGGGTGTCTGATGACTAAAAGATGTTATGTGTCCCTGCGCACCACACTCCGTGTGGGGAAGAGAAAAGGTTAACCCCTTGGCAAAGGTGGAAGAGGGGAGGCCGGCAACATTGTCAGTAGCTCTCTGCAAAACTCCTCTCAGTGACTCCACAGTCTCAGCCCTTTTGGGTTCTTGACTGAGAGGAAGGGTCCCAGGTGATGTAAAACCAGCTCGTAGTATTTCCTTTGTCAGTTCTGCATGTTTTCTGGTACCTTATTGTCCTTGTGTTTTTTGTTTGTTTGTTTGTTTCAATTCAAACATTTTTATTCAGCTGCATCCTGGTGGAGACAGCAAGTTATGATGGTCAGATTATCTCATGGGAAGAACCACATTTAATTATGTAAATATAGAAAAAGTGGGGACTTCGGGAAAGATTGCTAGAGCTTCCGGTGGCTTAGCAAAAAGCTAACTTCCCAGCAGTTGGTTTGCAAAGCTCTGGGGAGGGGTGATGTCTCGATCTGCACAGAGTTCAGGGCCACTTGGAAGGAAAACACAAAGAAAACGGACTCAGGGGCCAGTTACCTGGATTCAGCCCTGGTATAGTCTTGGTATCTCTGCGCCTCAGTTTTCTTATCTCTACTATAAATAAGGATGCTACTTCATTGAGGTGTGACGCCCAATGAATTAATTCATGTGAAACTATAGAGGAGGATGATATTTTATAGGGGTGACCTTAGGGTTAAGCAATTAGTTCATATAAAGTGCCCAGGAAAGGGCTCTCCAAATGTTAGCACTGTTATTCTCCTTAAGAATCAAAGCTAGGGATGCCTCATGAAGCAGATAATAATATCCTTAAAATAACGGTACCTGAGGGAGACAGTCTGGCCCTCCGTGTGTGTTGGCAACGAGAAGAGCAAGAGGTGATTGAGTCCATTCACGTTTTGTGGCCTTTCACTCTCCGTGCCCAGGGCTGGACCTGCCTAGGAAATACTTAGCACTTGTCCAGTGTTAGAGAAAACCTCTGTTCTGTTCTCTTTAATCTGGACTCCTCCTCAAACATCACTCAGGCTCTGCTGACCCTCTCTGAGTGGCCTTCTTTGTCCTTGCCCTCAGCCAGTCCACGCCAGGACATGGTTTCTGGTTCTTATATCTGTTTGCAGAAGGCTCTTGTTCTCTGATTCTGTGTTGCACAGATATCCCACGGTACACCAGACCTTTGTCACTGATACCCCTGTGGGAGGCGTGTCCCTCAGTTTTCACTGTGGCACGCAGGCATGCCACAAATGGCTGCGCGATGCCGCAGCTCTGCTCTGTGGCCTGGCTCCTCTCTTTCCCATGATCAGAATTCTTTCTGCTTGTGTCCTCTGTGTTCTTATCCTGGTCCCAGTACTATGATGACTCTCAGTCAGTGAGAGGGACCATACTCAACCCTCTTCCCAATTAGGCCGAAAAGAGGTGTTCCCTGCTCCAGTGAACTAACAGGTGAGCTAGCATTCCTGTAAAATGTGATCTCACAGCAGGTGTCAAGATTTCCCTGTTCCTGCATTTCTCAGCCATCAGCTGCATTTCTTCTCCTCTGCTGTAGTATCTGTGAAACAACAGACAAGTCAGTAAGGGCTCGTCTTCCTGAGAGAGAGGTGCCCTTTCTCATCCTTGTCTAAAATGACTAAGCTCCCAGAGAGAAATCATGACATAGGTTAGCATTTATCCAGTTATCTGTGGTGAAGAACCAGTCTTCATAATTTTCTAATTTAAAAAAATATATTTTTACTGACTTCAGAGCAGAAGGGAGAGGGAGAGAGTGATAGAAAGATCAACTATGAGAGAGAATCATTGATCAGCTGCCTCCTGCGCACCCTACACTGGGGATCAAGCCTGCAACCTGGGCATGTGCCCTGACTGGGAATTGAACCATGACCTCCTGGTTCATAGGTTGATGCCCAACCACTGAGCCATGCCAACCGGGCAATTAATTTCCAATTTTTCACAGATTAATAGTTTTGTAAAATCTGAATGACTAGAAAAATGAAATTCAAACAAAAAATATAAGGCCACTGATCATGTGCTTGAGTGCCGTAGCACTACCAACTGGCTATAGAAGTTTCTAAAGGCTCACTCCCAAGTTCTGTGCCTCTCTTGTCTGGGCTCAGGACAAACCGTTCACAGGCCAGCACTTATCTGTGGACCCCAGTGTGAGGAGCATTGGCCTGATGCTCAAAAAGGACCTCTGGTTTCATTCCCTCATCTGTGTTTTCTGGACATTTGTAGATTGTTTCTACCTTGAGGTGCAAAACAAGAAAAGAGAAGGAGAAGCAAGCGGAGGAGAAAGGAAAAGCCAAGCAGACGAGCTCTGCAGGGAGCCTCTCCCCATGGTTTCTCCCCCAAAGCCGCTCTCTCCCCTCTTCGCCCCTTCATCTCAGCTCCCACAAGACCCACAAAACTGGACGCTCCTCTAGCGTCCCCTCCAGCATCCTCCTGGACCCCAGAGGGCTCTCCCGGCAGGCGAGGCGCTCCGTGGACCTGGAGCTGGAGAGGTGCCGGCAGCAAGCAGGCTTCCCGGTGATCAAGGAGAAGGAGGAGCCCTGGGTCTTCAACCCAGAAGCTGACTCTGCAGCTGGGGACCTGCTGGAGCCCTCTCAGGAGGAGTGGAGGCAGGTGGGTGTGGCCGGGAGCTGCTCCCTAGGATTTGGCTGCCATCAGGAGGGACCAAGGATTTAAAAAAACATCAAATCTCATCTTTCCATGTAAATTCAGGGGATTTTTTTGCCTGCCTTTCTCTGTCCCTGGTGTTAGAACATCCCCGGAAGAGATTAGTGTTTGCCTGATGACTCATATATTTTAGAGTTTTGTGAAGGATGGGAAGATGTAGGCTCCATTGCCTGAGTAAACTTGGTTTAGTGACCTAACATCCCTGGGGTGAAAGGTAAGCCACAATTTCTTGGATGCTATTGTTTTATTTTTTGTTTTAATGTGTCAGAAAGATGGCTGCTGTAGCTCAAAGCCAAAGGGCTGTCAGTAGCTTCTGTCCTCCTCTGTTATCAGGCAACCAAAGGCTTTTCCAAAATCTCTGAACTGTGTCACATGGCTACCCCTAGCTGCAAGGGAGGCTGAGAAAGCAAATATTTAGCTTGGCACATTGCCACCCCAAACGCCCAATCAGGGTTTTGTTAGCAAGGAAGAAGAATGGCTATTAAGGATGTATTCACAGTGCCTGCCAAAATAGAGGCATACCTCGTTTTAGTGCACCTCACTTTGTTGTGCCCTACAGATGTTGCATTTTTTCCCCCAATTGAAAGCAAAACCTTCCATCAGCAAAAAGATTACAACTCGCTTCATTGCTGTTCCTTCTGCTCTTCTTCCTCTTCTTCTTCTTCTACTGATAGAAATGACTCTGAATGAGGATCTGTCTAGTTTTTAGGGAAGACACCACCTCTGTTCTCTCCAGGTTGTGGATATTCTGTGGAGTGATCCCATGGCTCAGGAGGGCTGCAAGGCCAACACTGTTCGAGGAGGAGGCTGCTATTTCGGGCCAAATGTGACCAAACGGCTGCTACAGAAATACGACCTGCAGCTCCTGATCCGCTCACACGAGTGCAAACCCGAAGGCTATGAATTCTGCCACAGCCGCAAGGTGGGTGGGCCCTCGGCAGTGCACAGGAGCGGTCCCATTGCTCCTCCCAGGTCTGGGCTAGCGAAGGCTTCTCACAGCCAGCTCTGCCTTGTGTTTGTTACCCTCTTGCAGACCATAACTGAGTCCTTCGCAGTAATTTACCCTTGGCTTTTAGAGCCTCTTTGAAATTCGGTTTTGTTGGAGGCCACCATTCACCGATACCCTGAGAGGAGAGTAAGGGGACGTTTGTTTCCATCTCATGGATGCAAATATGGCCTGGGGTTTTCCCAGCCACATCTCTGTTCTTTAAGTCACATTGCTTGCTCTCACATGTCTCAAACAGCAGCACAGAAAAACAGGACTTCTCACTGTGCCCCAGGCAGGGATTCTGGATTGTCTGCTCCTGCCTAACCTTTGGGCATCTCTAAATCCTGCAGTGTTTGCCTGGGCTAATACTATTTGGGTGAGAGTAATTCCCAGGAATACTAATTCTACAGGAGAATAACAGTTTTCCATGCAGAAAAAATAAGAGATCAAGTAATATGAGAAATATTTAGTTAAATACATAAGTTTCTTTATTACAGGACTTCTCAGGACTTTTAATTTCCTATATTCATTGTAAATCTCCAAAAAAAGATGCAGTGTTTAGCATTTTCCAATATATTGACAATGGAAACTTTTCACAGAGCATCTTGGGGGCTCGGCACTGTGGGAAACGGCTTTGAGGCCTCCCACCTGCTAGTTGGTAGCTTATTTGCGTGCTGGGTGTAATGGCCGCCTCAGTTCATTGGGCCCAGCTGGCCTCTAAGTGGAATCAATGAAGTTTTTTCTCTGACTCCTCTTAGTTTTACTTGGGACAAAAATGTGAAGAAAGTATGTTGTGGATGTTCTATCAGAATTCAAGTTTTTATTACTTGGGTCACAACTCCTGCCCTACTAGCATTAATGACTTTAAATAAACCCATAGGTGAGGTCAAGGAGAAATAGCAGCCCCTGAAATTGGGTTGGACCCTCTAGGACGGAGGGCAAAGGATTCTCCAGTGAAGCTGAGTGGCTGTCTCTCTTCTCTTGATTTAGGTGTTAACCATCTTTTCTGCTTCCAACTACTATGCAGTTGGCAGTAACAGAGGGGCCTATGTCAAACTGGGGCCAGCCCTGACCCCACACATCGTGCAGTATCAAGCTAACAAGGCGACCCACATGCTGACCATGAGGCAAAGGCAAGACTTTCCCATGAGTGATTTCAGAAAAGCAGAATTATGGTGTTTATGGAACTTTTGAAGTGTCAAATGTTACTACATTCATCTAAATTCTAAGTGAGAATTCAGAATTTGGCTCTTTCAGAAGTAAGGCGGATCTATAATAGACATTATAGGCAGAGGCCTCTTCCTTCTCCACACACTCCAGAATCTCTACCTCCTCCTCATTAATGGAAGGAACAAGTTTGTTTCCTGCAAATTTGCTTTTATTGAAGTTTTCCTCAGTGGGTGCATCATGGGTAAAATCCATGGACCAGCCACCGAGTCTTTCCAGGGCCACTCTTCTGTTCTCTCTCATCCGTAAAGAATTTGTGCTGTCCCATCAACCCCAGCCAAAGGTCCTTGTACTATCTGGGGATTTGGCAGATGGATTTCAGTGTACACAACCTCTTAACAATGGCCCTTTCCTCCTGGGAAGGAAATATATAATATTACTTAAATGGCTTTTGTTGGGATGATTCTGAGTTGTAATCTTAGTTAGAACATACCACACATTAAGTGTTATTATAAACCATATATGTCTCACAATGAACTTACGAAATACATCATGTAATAATTTCTACTTTTATAAATGAAATTATTAAGGAACAGAGGTTAAATCAGCTGGCCCATGGTCACACAGCTAATAAGCAGTGAGAGTTAGCCTTGACCCAGGTAGTCTTATTTAAGAACTCATACTCTTATTATGCAATACTGCCTCCCACCAAAAAAGTGGGCTCCAGAATATAAAGCTACTAACAGATACTGTTTTAGTGGCACTAAACCAGCTTTTAAAATTATCAGATGAACTAAATTCGAAATCAAAACAAAGTTAGTATAAATCCATTGAAAAGAACACATTAATATTTAGCATCTGCCTTGTGAGAGTGCTATAAAAATTCATTATTTTAAATCATTCTTGAGTCTAAAACACTCAGAGTTATTAAACAGTCAAGTTATTTAAAAAAATTATGGCCAGCATTACTTTAAAAAGAAATATTATATGAAAATTTAAACTCACCAAACAATAGTAGTTAAACCTACTGGGCAGCAGAATCATCTGTGGAGCTTTATAAAAAAAAAAAAATCAGTCATCTGAGCCTCATCCCAGTTCCACCAGATTAGAGTGTCCAAGGGTGGGCCCCAGGCACCCAAAATGCCATGATTTCATATGATTTCAGTGTTGTCACTACAAGAGGAGTCACTGTAGGGAATCCTATAAATGGTATCTTTAATAACATAGTGAAAGATCACTCAGCTTTTTGAAATATTCATTGATTGCATCAAAGCAAGTACAACAGCACCCAGAAGTCACTTGTCCAACGACTTCAACTATTTGGACCACAGTGGAGAACTTAGAAGGAAGGGGGGAAGTGCTCCTGACCAGCCATAATTGATGTCTTGTTGTACAAGAACTCAGGACCATGTGTTTTACTTAGAGAAATCCTCACTCAGAATTCACTTACTTTTGGTGTAAATCCACATCTCACAGTAATAGTTTAGCCAGCCTGGTGTCCCCCTGTCAAGATTGATTCTTAGCTCCACCCCTTATTAGCTATGTGACCTTAGGCTTGTTACTTACTCTGCAATGGGCATAATAGTCTTACCCACCTCAGTGGGTATTGTAACTATGAGAAAACGAAATAAGTGTTATTTTGTTATTCATGAATCTTGCCTTGTGACTGTTTAATGTAATAATAAATTACAAGGAAAGCATGATTTTGAAAACACATCATTTATTGAGTGCTTTTAAAGTGCCAAGCTTCCTTCTAAGTGCAGAATATGAATTTACTCTTTTATTCTTCACAATAATCTTGTGAGGTAGGTAACATTTTTATCCCTATTTTGCAGATGGGCAAACTGAGGTACAGTGAAGTTACATAACTTTACCATAGTATTCTATACTGGGCAGGACAGCAGCATCCCACAGAATACTTCAAATTCATCCTATCTGTGCACAGCAGGGAAAAGTGGGGCAGCAGGGGGGCGGGGGCAGAAATAAGAGGTGGAGCTCTTCCCTCCAAAACTGAGCCCTTAAGAAGTCGGGATATTAAGGACGAGAGAGGCAAAATATAGTAAAAACCCATGACTATTTCTTCTTTAGTAACATGTTCCTTTTTTTCTTCTGTCCCAGGATTAGCAGAGTGGAGGAGTCAGCTCTAAGAGCTCTGCGGGGAAAGTTATTTGCTCATTCCTCAGATCTTCTTGAGGAATTTAAGAAGCGTGATAATGGTAACACTGGTAAGTTAATCGAGTAAGATATTCGTAAGAGAAGGAAGCTGGTAAAAACAAACAAAAACTTGTTTCGCAGTAGTTAGCAAAGAAATGTTTGCTGAATGAACAGATGGCCAAAAGACTTCTTTGACTACTTCCTCCATTTAATTCAAGTTAATGGCCCAGTTATCTTTTCTAAATATTAAAATTCCATGCTCTTGCCAAACCGGTGTGGCTCAGTGGATGGAGCGTCGGCCTGCGGACTGAGGGGTTCCAGGTTCGATTCCGGTCAGGGGCATGTACCTGGTTGCGGGCACATCCCCAGTGGGGGGTGTGCAGGGGGCGGCTGGTCGATGTTTCTCTCTCATCGATGTTTCTAACTCTCTCTCTCCCTTCCTCTCTGTGAAAAATCAATAAAATATATTTAAAAAAAAAATTCCATGCTCTTAACAATATGAACTTGGCTAAAGATAGATGGAGATGGTGAAAAGAAATGGAGTCAGGGAAAGGTGACAAGGCCAGAACTAAGCAAAAAGCAACAGGTGGGGCAGGTTACAGAAGTTTGCCCAAGATTAGCAAATTTTAATGATTTGACTTCTTGTTGTTGTCAAGTGTGTATTTAACTGTTTTTCATTCTATTATAAAAACTGGCAGTTTTGTCTTTTGGAATGTGTAACGGACATTAACTACATGTACTCATATTAAAAAACAGCAGTCACTGTCATACAGTCATAACAATATTTTTTCCTATACAAGTAAACAACCAGTGCTGTATTTGTGTAATGGTTTTTCCTGTTATTTGTCTGAGTTTTGTGTGATTTCCAGTAGTATTGCCAAATATAGCAAATAAAAACAGAATGCCAAATTAAATTTGAATTATGGACAGATAATAAAAATCTTTAAATATAAGTATGTCCCATGCAATATTTGGGATATACTTATACCTCGTGGTCTGTCTGAAATTTAAATCTAACTGAATATCCTGTATTTTATCTGGCAACTCTACTTTCATGACCATGACCAACAGAAATAGTGACAGTGCCTAATATTTTTATTACCTACGGATAGTAAGAAGAATGTCAGGTTAACATGGTACCCACTGTTAGGCAGGAAACTGGGCTTATAGGCGACAAGACAACAAGTTAGCCCTTTTCCTGTAGGTTTAATCACCCTGAGTGACTGGGCAGCAGCTGTGGAGTCTGTGTTGCATCTAGGACTGCCATGGCGGATGCTGAGGCCACAGCTGGTAAACAGCTCCACAGGTAACATGCTGGAGTACAAGTCCTGGCTGGAGGACTTGGCCAAAGAACAACTGAGTCACGAGGTAATGATGAGAAAATGGTGGATGAGGGCATATTGTGGACCATGAAGCCCCTTATGGAGAACTTTGTGTTTTTTTAATTTTTTTAATTTGATTAAGTTATTACATATGTGTCCTTATCCCTACGTTACCCCCTATCCCCCCCACTCATGCCCTCACCACCCTGTTGTCCGTGTCCATTGGTTAGGCCTATATGCTTGCATATAAGTCCTTTGGTTGATCTCTCCCTCTCCCCTCCACCCTTCCCTACCTTACCTCCCAGCCCCGACGGTCCAATCAATGCCTATCTGTCTCTGGATCAGTAC